ATTTTTTTCAATGAAAATTTAATTATATTTAAAATTTTGTGTAGCCCATGTGAGAGATAATGGTTGATATAACATCATGTAATATTTAATATGAGGATGCATAGATAATAATTTAAAAGCCACCTAAAAATTCCCAAAAAAAAAATGGTGCTTTTTCTTAGATTTTTTATGAGGATGCATAGATAATAATTTAAAAGCCACCTACAAATTCCCAAAAAAAAAATGGTGCTTTTTCTTAGAATTTTAATTAGATTTTTCATTTTTTGTTAGATATTTTCGTAATAAAGTTTTGCTACTAGTTTTTTTTTTTCATTTTTTTTAAAAATTTCTCCCCTTATTATTTAGAAAATTCATAAAATGTTTTATAATTCTTAATAAAATTATTATTTTATGAAAATCTATGGGTGCATTGTAGTCAATGTTCCCTATATCATCTTGTTGCTATAGAAAAATTTAATTAAGATGTCAAACAAATGAATTTTCTAACACAATGTCATCTAAAAGAAAATTCAGTGCTTCCATGACCATATTATTATTATTATATGTTTTGTTATATGATTGTATTTCAATTATTGCTCTAATATCATGTAGATTTCTATGTATATGTTAGGTATCAAAGAGAGAGCTTAATTCTTAGCATGATATTAACATTGAGTGTTTATATTAGTGATGTTAGGCAATGGTACTATTGTTGAAACTAATGATCTATATCTAAGATAGAAGTTATATCCTTCATAATTATAATGAATTCTTCAAGGTTAAAAGATTTTGGAAGCTGAGGTAGAAGTTTGAAGGTTTGTAGATCGTTAAGAATTTAATAAATTTGATGATGATGAAGAGTGAGTGAACATAATGCAAGTCCTGAAACTTTGTATGCAACTTTAAAATAGAACTCTTCATATGTTTAGCCATTGAATGTATGTTTATTTGTGTATGAGGCTTTAATATTTTAGATGAAAAAAGTTATATTTTTGGAAGTTTATATCTCTTGAGATTTTCTTATGATTAAAATAAATTTATTTTTTGAAACTTCTGCCTTTGAAATTTTATATTTTTAAAACTTGAAGATGGCAGTGAAACTATAAATTAACACTCAGGACTTTTGAGATTTCTTATTGGCATAAAAAATTGCAACTTTTGATGCTTATTTATTTTATGATTTTTCAGGTCATAAAGAACATATAATATCTTATGAGACTGATAACTTTTAAGATTTTTAACAAAGGTATATATCCCGATATTTATTGAATTTATATAATCCGTGGTTTTTAGATGGCAGATAATTTATATTATTCAAGGTTTATATCTTTTGAGATTTTATGTAAAATAGTACTTAGACTATTTAAAACTTTTTTTCTTTGGAGAGGCTTAGATAAAAAATTATATATTACTTCTTAGGCTTATTCATCATAAGAATTTTAGATAAGAATTTGTTTCTTCAGAGAGAGAGAGAGAGAGAGAGAGAGAGGTATATATAGATGTATATATATATTAAGGAAATATATATACTTTCAAAGGCTTTACTTTTAAAAATTTTGTATAGAAATCTTGTACATTTTGAGGCTTTTATTTTCTTAGATTAAAAAAAAATTTGCATCTTCAAAGAAGTATACCATATGAGATTTTTAAATAGTGTAGAACTTGCCAACTGTTTACTTTGATGAAATCATTTTATGGAGGCCTTTGTCCAACAATAGCTCTTCAATTAAGCCTTGTAGTAGGCATGCCTTTTAGGGAATGGAGGCTTGTCTATCACTCCCCCTCCAATCAAAATTTCCAAAATAAATAGATATCTATATCTTAAATTTTCTAAAATCTCAATGAGATGAGAGGTTGTGAGATAAGTAGCTAAATGTTTTTAGGCTACTTGTAATCTTTCTATTGAATCAACTGCCGACACATGATATGATGAATTTAATTTTGGAGAATTAAATTAGTTAGAGGACAAGATTCTTGAATGCTACACTAAAAGTGTTAGTTAATCTTTATCTCAAAAAAAAAACTTTCTTCATGTGAAGAATATAAAGCTATTTATATTTTGGTCAAATTGGCATTTTATATACTAACCAAAGTCTTCAACATACCCTTTCAGTTTGGTGGCTTAATTTCTTTGACGTATAACTAATTTTTTATCATTTAAGTGTCTTAATGATATTAAAAAATGTGATTTTGGATTTATTTGATTTTTTATCAAAACTCAAGATAATCAACAAATTTCCAACATCCAACACAAATCTCGAAGCATGACACGGAACTCGAGATAATTTTTTGAACAATCAACATTCAAACTTTGATTAAAAAGTTATTCAAAACTTTGAATTACAGTCAGACAGACCAGCTCGACTAGATGGACCTAAGAGTATCAAAATGGTTCAATTCGAGTCAAATCAAGCCCAAATCAAGCTATTAAATCGCTTTTGGAAAGTTTTCTAGACATAAGTAAGAGGTTAGAAAGGACTTTGAATATTCCATGTTACAATAAATTTGAGCGTCTTAACAAGAAGAATCCGACGAGCCCAAGATCTCTCAATTTTGACATCATTAAAATATTAAAATGTTCATCGAACATCGTTTGATCCAGGAGATCTATTTGGGTTGCTCGATCGAGAATGATCCAAATTCCTTTCTTATTTACAACATGGATAATATAAATAGATCCTTACCCCTCTCATGAGATGAGGCGCTAGATCCCAAGCAAGGGGAAGGCCAAAGCCTGCAGAAAAGGAGTCGCAACCTAGCATTCTGCTCCTTAGATTTGGTATGTTGCCACTGCTAACAATTGCTACCCACCATCGCCCTCTTGCACTTACCACTGCCAACAATCGTCAACCACTGACATCCTCTCGCTCCTGCTATCGACGACCAACGCCGCCCGCCAACTCAGGCCATCGCCGGCCAACTCAAGTTGTCGTCGCTACCATCACCTTCGACAATCGTTACTTTTGCTGGCAACTCTGGTCACCACCTCCTCCAACTCCGATCAACTTCGGTTGCCACAACCTCCAACCAACTTCAGTTGTTCCCGTTGTCACCGCCTTCGCCTCCGGTACCTCTAGCACTACCGCCTCCGACAATTGCTACCAGCAACCATCATCGACCAACATCGACTGCCACCTGCTCTGTACAACGAAGCCCCTTATGATGTTATAACCTGCACTGCGGAACACCGACGTACATTGCAAAATAACAACACACTGTACTTAAAGATGTAACGATATGTCCCAAAAATGGTGTAACAATACATCCTAATGACAGTGACTTTCTATGGACTCTTTGAGATCCTATCGTGCAGCTCCTGACTTCGACCCCTACGAAATACGAATGTCATAGCAACCCACCACCACCACCTACGTGACCAAATATGACTTAAGTGGTTCATCGCTTGTGCACCTCCCAACTCTGACCCACACGTCCTATGAATGTTGTCACGACTCACCACTACAATCTATGAAAATAGTTACGGTATATATGATACACAACTCATTTAGCTTCCAACTCCAACCCCGCTGACTACAAATGTCATCACTGCTCACCACTACTACTTATATGACTAACTACGAACTACGTGGTTTACAGCTTGTGCAGCTCCCGACTTCGACCCTTATAGCCTGCAAACATAATCATAGCTCACCAATACGACCTACGTGGTTCACAGCTTGTGCAACTCCTACTCCGGCCTCTGCGACCTACAAAAGTCATCACAACTCATCAATACTGACTATGTGGCCAATTATGACATACATGATTCACAGCTCTTGTAGCTTCCTATTACGACATTTGTAGTCAACCACACTTCTTAAGAAACAATTTGCAACCCACATAGCTAACTACTACCATGTCTTTTACCTACAGCCTATACGGCAAGCCGGCGTTGTGGCCATCATTTACAACATTGTGTGAACTACTGCCTCTGCAACAATCGACTACGACTCTTACAACCTACTATCATTGAGAATTATATACAATCAAACTACAACTATTATCGATGAACCATTATTGTAGATTTACAATGATCATCTTTGTAACTCCATATTCCATAATTCAAGAGAAGAGTGAACTTGTGTACTTACCATTTATAGTGAAAAATCTTGTGATTTTTTTTCTCTTTTTAGGGTTTTCCATGTGAAAATTGAGGCATCTCCTTCTGCTTATTTCTCTTTAACTACTTGAGTGTGTTGTGTTTTCGTGCAATACTAGGACACTAAATTTATGATTCTATCTCCATAGACCTTCCGACACATATCAACTCATATTTTGATTATAAACATGTAACTTTTAACATCATTTGACCCATAAATTAATGCTAGAAAAATTTTAACTTTATTTTAAGCGTTTGATTCAGGCTAATTTATACTTAAATCAAAATATTTATTATATTATTTTGCTTGATCAAGATGTTTAATTTGATTATAAATTTAATAAAATTGAAGTAAATTTTCAAAATTTAAATGTTGCATGGAAATTCATATCTGATCAAATGAATTTTTTTGAATAATATATCATAATTCCATTTTAAAATACCCAAATAAATCATAAATTAAAAAAAAATCATTATTTTTAAATTTATTGTAATCTCAAGCTATTAAATATGTGCTCACTAACTTTAATGAGCTCTCGGAACAGAATATTTTACTTCGAGAACAAGAACATGAAGTTCATAATTCTCATTGGAAGGATGCAGTTCAAAGGGAGGGAGCAAAAGTGGTCCGGCGGAGCAACCAAAGTGCATAAATCTGCGTATTTGTAAATATGTAAATATGAAAGTTTAGGTGTTAGATATATAAATAGAAAAGGATTGTGTATTGGTATGTAAATTTCCAATTAATATAATATTTTAACAGAAATTACTGGTTTAAACCGATGCTGCAAAAATATATAAGCATGTTGCAGCCACCAGTGTGAGGGGGGGGAGAGAGAGAGAGAGAGAGAGAGAGAGAGAGAGAGAGAGAGAGAGAGAGAGAGAGAGAGAGAGAGAGAGAGAGAGAGAGAGAGAGAGAGAGAGAGAGAGAGAGAGAGAGAGATGCATGGGGATTGGAGAGGTGGACACAGGAAGGGGTGGAGAAAAAAAGGGTGAAGAGAAGGACGAAGGGAGAGAAAAAGGAGAATTTGGATGCATGGACTTTGAATCAGTTTAATCGGAAAGTAACGTAAAACATTGATCAGACAGGTCTGCTGCTCCGATCGCTCCTCTTCATTGGTGTGGGTTGAGCCTTCTGAGAGCGTAATCCGTCTTGTTTTTTTGTTTCGATTCTTTGTTTCCGGTTTTGTGGTTGATTTCTATGGGGGAAAGGTTTGTTCTTGGGAGGAATGTGTGCCGTGAACGGAACCTCCTGTGTTAATTTTTTGGGATTATTTGGTTTGGGGAAGATGGGTGTTGTTTGATCGTCTTACTTTTCTTGGTTTGGCTTTTGATTTTTCTGATTTTATCCGGGGGGTTGATGAATCTTGTAACGGAATTTCCTGAGGTGGGTTTGAATCCGTAGTTTATTTCTGGTGGAGTCATCGTTTGACTGATGTCGGTGTTTTAGTTTTTAGCTGAAATGCTTAGTTTGGTTGCTTGAAGATCAATCGGAGCTGGCGATGGCGCTGTTTTGTTTCGGTTTTTTTTTTCCAGTCATTTGATTTTTTAGCGCCGGCGTTCACCGATCAGTGTGGAAACGGTTTTGTTTGCTTACTGGAAGTCTACAAGTTTGAAGAATCTTACGAGCTATTACGTTGTTTCTAAAATTTACCCCACTTTATGTTGATATTCCTTTTTTCTTCATCTGCCTTAGCAGGCTTCGTGCACCATGGATTTCTCTAGCTTTAGAAAGATCTCCTTATTATTATTATAAATTGTATTCACTTGTTGTCTCTGGCATAGTTTTTATTTTCTTAAACTTTGGTCGCAGTTGTGCTGCCAAATTTATTCTATTTTGATGCTGTTTAGTTGTGAGAGAAGCTTTGCATAAATCTGTTTTTTGATAACCCCACTGATCCCTTAGTTTGATCGAAACAATTTAAAAAATGTGATTTCTGTTCAATGATTGATATGGTTCCTGATCCAATTCATAATTCAGAAATTTTCCCTTTTGTGCTTTGGCTATCATATAACTTTCTACCACAACTGCTGATCAAAATGCAGATTGTTACCTATTTTACCTTTTTTTTTCAGCGCTGCAATTTGGTTTGTGGAAAAGCAACTAGTTTCTGATCTCACTTGCTACCATGCAATTAGAAGCTTTATTCGAGTAATAACATTTGGATTTGATGAATTTGATTAAGAAGACCGTGGTGCTTTATGAACCGTCCATTTCAGCCTTTAGAGCATTGAATTTGGCTGTGATTAATGTTTGGATTTTGTCTTGGTTCATTCTACAACACTGATTAAATCACTGAGTTGGACATTAGAGAATTTCTTTTCCTATAGAGAAAATTATATCCGATTGAAGAATTTCCACATTTTCTATAGTATTTGGTTCCAAATGGTAAACACATAATTGCAGATAGTGTTTCATAGCTTTGTGATAGGGGGTTCTCTACAATGGGGTTGCCTCAATTACCTCCAAGTACAGCCGATGAAGTAGCTACATCACTGAGCACATTAGTGTCAGTCCAATCAATTAGTGATTTTTCGTGCCCCTCTATTAGTGATTTCCATATCAAAACTACATCAGAACTCCCGAAAGGAGTAGATGGACCATTCAAGTTTAAGAATGCCATTGATGGAGCTGCAAGCTTTGAAGGTCTTAAGCTTGACTGCAAGGATAAGAGGGGTTGGATAAGGCCTAAGGTTGGACAGGATGCCCAAAAACCAGTGATAAGGATTGTTGGTTTTGAATCTGGCCATCAAGACTCGATCTTTGGTTCGGAAAAAGTTGTGTTGAATGAGACTAAGTGTGTTGATTCTTTTGGCAGTTTAGCAGAATCAAATGGGTCACAGATGAGAAAACGTTTGTTATCTCCGCTGAATGGCATGCTTCACAAGCATTTCCATGGTGACCTTTTAGATCTTGGCGGGACTGGTGATGTTTGTGATCGCTCTAATGATACGGTTAGGAGATGTTTACTTCAATCAGAGGATTGTAGGAAAGTAAATATTAAAAGTGTTAGTGAATTTGATGCTTTCGTTCGTCCAAATTCACAGGTTTCACCTTGGATTAGTCAAATGAAACACGAAAATAATAGTTTCAGTTCAGATAGATTTACTGATGGTCCTTTGCTTCACAATAAGGATTCTTATTCGTTATTTCATCAGTCAAATACTTCAGACATCACGAAAATCAACGCTATAACCATGTCAAGAAATTCTGACACGATTGCCATATCTCCTAAGTTGGTCAACTCCCCCCCGCTCTTCTTGTCTCCTCTCGGTCCTAAAGGGTCCGAAAGAACTAATATTGTCGGAGCATCGAAAATTATATGCAGCAAGATTGAAAGTGAATCTCAGATTTTAGAAGATACTGCAGATTCTAGAGATGTAACTGTGGCTGGTAATACATTCGTAAGTGGCACTATGTTGTTTGATGAGTCTTATTTGTCTTCCCCGGTCGGTTATCATTCAGGAAGGAGCTGGGAGGGTCCAGAGTCAGCCCCATCCCATTGCACTAAACCAGTGAGAAATTTAAACGTTTTACATGTGAGGAGGTCGCTAGTTGGTTCTTTTGAGGAGTCCCTTCTGTCTGGTCGACTTTCATCTGGGAAAATCAGCCAGGTGTGTAAGGATTTCTGACCATTTCTTATGAGCTTGGCATACTTTTGATTCATAATTCATATCGGATGGGTATCATATTATTGATTTTCGTGTTCTGTTTGGAACCTTGTTGCAGAGGATTGATGGGTTTTTGGCTGTTCTCAATGTTAGTGGTGGCAGTTTTTCTCCACAGACTCAGAAACTTCCTTTTGCTGTAACAAGTATTGATGGGGACAGCTCGTTGTTATACTACGCAGCTATTGATCTCGCGGATAGTTCGCTATTGAATAAGAGCAAGAGCCAAAAGTTGAAAAGAAGCCTCAGCATTGATGATTCCCAAGCTGTCAAGAGTCGCTTGCGCATTCCTATGAAGGGCCGCATACAACTGGTATTTCTTCCCTTTAGCTGTCAATTTTGATTGTGTTACATAACATGCAATTTCTATGTATTTACATAAGTAACACCTAAACTTTGTTTTTTTGGCATTTATACCACCTAAATCTATTATAAACATCAAAAGTACCACTATTTTCACTTTTGAAAATTTAAATGCTCCTTTTCAAGCATAGATAAGGTGACATATATATATATATATATATATATATGTAAAAAATGAAGTTTAGGTGTTAGGTATCTAAATGCATAAGAATTAAGTGGTGTGTATGTGAAATTTTAACTTTTCCTTATTCTTTACCAGCTATTTTACCATGAGTTTGTTTACTGGTTGAAACATGTTAATCATGAAGTTAGTTTAGCCACTTTTGTCACTTGAAATGTTTTATGATAGCCATTTGTTTTAGGTGTCCATTGTTCAACCCCTACTTCTAAAAAAATTTTTGCTCTTTCATTTTCAAATTAGGCTCACAGGGCATAAAAAATGCCGAATAACAGTTGAAAAACTAAATGACATAAAATTGCATCATAAGTTCTAGCTTTAGCAAAGAATTCCTATTCACGTGATTGTTGTCTAAGTTAACATGATTGTTGTCTAAGTTAATCACCACATCCTTGCTACCTAAGATACAATTATATCAGGTCATTGTTTGCTTGTGTTGTTGAAGATGTTAAAACTAAAATATTTTCTTTTTATGAATCTGAGAGTCATATGGCAATGAATTCATATATAGAGAAGTTGAATGTGGCAAAAATGCGAATGGTGAAATGGATATGCAGCAAAACTGTCAAGGATATTAAAAGAATGAGTGAGTAGCATTCAATAAACACAAGCTAGTGTAAAATATACTTGGATAGTTTGGGAATGTACCACAAAGAGTAAAAGATGCACCTATAAGTAGATAGATAAAATTAATATTGAATGATTAGAATGAAAAAAGAATAGATTAAAGGTAACTTGAATAGAAGTTGTCCAATGATAATTATGTTAGATATGTTTCAAACATCTTGCTACACCAATCAGGATGAATGGCAAATTAGGGCTCAAAAGTCAATCCCAAAGAGTTTGACTAAGTCTAATGATGATAGATTTGTTGTCTGCATTTTTTTAGCCTATATATCATGGTCATTTTATAACTTTCTTGATGTTGATGTTTATTTCACCATACTCTGGTTAATATTTCACTCTCTTGCACTCTCTTGCCTTTCTGTTCATTGTTTTGTATATTGTGTCTATTTATATCATATTGGCATGAAGCACACAAAGCTTGTTGTTAGAAATCTTAAAGGATTATGCTTTTTTCAGGAAACAATGTTTTCATGTAGGGTTTATGAGGAGATTGTCATGTGCTTTAATGCATGGAAGTGAGTCTACTTAATCCAAGTGTCGTGTTCCCTAGTTTGCCATTACAGATTAGCATTGGTTGGTGATTGTCTTTTTATAATTAAGAGAGCTTATGGAGCTTAGTTTCTCCTTGTGTACTTTTCATGTTTTTTATCTAACAAAAGCGGGTGTTATTATCTTTAAACTACACAACTAATCTTGTTTCTTATTGTAGTATGGTGTTTTATTTAAGAAGAATCTCGGGACATGAAATTTTTTCTATTTGCTTGATAAATTCTTTTTTTTTTAAAACAAAGTAGAATAAAGTGGATGCACAAGATTGTGCAGATTATAGAGAATTAAGTTAATGTTTCATACATTAAAATTATGGGAGGGAGTATTTGAACAATAGATTAAGACGTGATACAAACATTTCTCATAATCAATTTGGATTTATGCTGGGCAAGTCTACTTTGTAAGCTATACATTTATTGAGAGGTTTGTTGGAGAGGTAAAAAGAGAGTAAGGAAGATCTACATCTAAGTTTTATTGATTTAGAAAAAAAACTTATGAAAAGGTTCCAAGAGAAGTTCTTTGGAGAGTTCTAGAAAAGAAAAAGTGTTGATATGGCTTATATTCAAGTCAATAAAGATATGCATTTTAGAGTCATTACTTGTGTTTGAACAAAAGGAGGATCGACCCAGTATTTTCCCATTTCAGTTAGATTACATCAGGGATCGACTTTTAAGTCCATATCTTTTTGCCTTAGTTATGGATGCTCTTATTGGACATTTGCAGGAGCACCTTGGCGTATGCTTTTTACTGATGGTATCCTTCTTGTGGATAAGTTCATAGAAGGAGTTCAGGAAAAACTTGAATTATGGAGGTCTGCAATGGAGTTTAAAGGCCTTCGTTTGAGTAGATCTAAAATTGAAGAAATGGAATGTAATTTTAGTAGTAGTAGATCTAGTTGCAGTGTTTTAACTATGGGTGATCACATCATTAAAAAGTGTGAGCGTTTTAGTTGATTGTTCAAAGTGGTGGTGATATAGATGAGGATGTTATTAGTAGAATTCATGCTGGTTGGTTGAAGTGGAGGAGGAATGCATCGGGCCTATTGTGTGATAGAAAAGTACTGCATAGGCTTTAAGGAAAATTTTATAAGATGGTGGTGAGACCTACGATGCTTTATTGCGCAAAATGTTGGCCTTTAAAAGAGAAGGATATAACTAGGTTAAGTGTTGTTGAGATGAGAATTCTTAGTTGGATGTGTGGCTTGACATTTAGAGACAAAATACGAAACAAATATATCCGTGAAATGGTTGATGTAGCTCCAGTGGCAAACAAGATTAGAGAGAGTCATCTTAAATGGTTTGATCACATTAAACGTTGACAATTTGATTATTCGGTTAGGAGAGTAGATGTTTTAGATTCGACTTAGGTTAAGAAAGGCAGAGGTAGTCCTAAAAAGACTTGGCATATTGTATAAAAAATAATCTAATTTATTAGAATTAAATGAAAATATGACTCTCGATAGGACTTAATGGAGAAAAAGGATTCTTGTAGAGGGCCCCATTTAGTGGGATAAAACCTTTTTGTTGTTGTTAAAATAATATAGAATTCATTTAGTTTATTGTAGCATTTCTTTCATTTCATAAATCAAGTCTATTTTCTGGATAGTGCACACATCTACTTATGATTAATCTATGTACTTCTAAAACCTTCCCAATTGTTATTTTTTTAATGCATATTGATTCCCATGTGCACTTTCTTTGGGCAACTCTTTTCCACAATTTCTATTCATATTACCTTTAATCTACCACCTTTTCTTCACAAAATTTTGTCGTTAATTTTATTTATTTATCTTGTTGGTGTATTTTTTATTAGATTCCATGACTCTTCCGTCTTAGATTGTCATGGACCCTGGTTTATTTACAGAAGATAGTCGACATTGGTTTACTTATAGAAGATAATCGACTCTGAATTACTTCATTAATTCTAAGTCTCCATGTCGAGTCGTGATAACATCGTTTCTCTGAAGAGCATAATTAAAAAGGTTATGCTTTATAAGATAATAATGTCGTTGATGTAGGAAATAATGCTTTTTTTTTTTACTTACATGATAGTGATACTTTTTTAGATGACTAGTATAATTCATATGAAAACATTTTATTTGCAAAAAATTGTAATTATTTAAATTTTAACTAATAGAGCTATTGAACACTTGAATTTAAGCTATTTGTTATAGTTTTTATTATCATAATTACCTTTCAATTTAATATTCTTTGGTATTTATGTGTATTTCTACTCGTAATTTATGTAATATTTAACATCTTTTTTAAAATGGCGTACAATGCCATACGCTATGTACTATTGCTTTATGGGGCCCTTTGTTATGGTAAGTCATTTTCCATTGATAAGTTCGGCTCAAACTAATGAAATTGACCCTATAAAGTCCTAAACACCCTTATGAAAAGTTTCTATTCACTGACTTTTGCCAAAGGAAATGAAAAATTATGATAGCCAAATTGGTTGAAATTGACTAAGTTGAACATTTGAAAAAAATTTAAGATTAAAATGAAGACGTCTAAAATATCATTTCGGTTGTTAATTCATTATCTTATAAGGTATTTGAGCTTGCTACTATAAATTAAATATTCTAAAAAAGTTGTGGCATTACTATAATTTTAGATGTATTTGACTTGATCTCATTTCAAGAACTTATTATTGATTTCTTGTATGCTTTTCTCTCTACATATTATAAGTTGACAACCAATCCCATGTTATGCAATGTAATATTGCTTACTTCTGAAGCTATTCTGGACGATGAATTTGAATCACTGCTGATAGTGAATTGCAGATTTATATTACTCGCTATTTCAAACATATTTGTGATGCTTTTTGGATTATATTTGTAAAAAGCACAAGTTTGTTTGATGAGGAGCAAAAGATCACTTTGTGAGTGATTTTTTTAAGTTTGGCACATTTATATAGGATCGCGTCTACTTGATATTCAAATATCATAGCTAAATTATCTCTAGTATTAGAAATGCTTCTTTATTTACGACATTTTATTGTGCATTAATTTAGTTGATCTTGTGGGTATGGGGTGTGAATGTTGATATTTTAGGAATTTACATCTTTGAAATTTTTACATTTAATAAATTGTTTTTTTTAATTTGAGTTATTTGGTAAAAAATTTATCAATAATAATTGCTGAAATTTATAAATTTAATATGCATTTCATCACTAAACATAAAAAATGAAGAAATATTGAAATTATTGCCAATATATTTATACCAAATAAGGCTAGTAGGACATTAGATTTGATGATGTAAATTCTTAAATTATTCTTATTTGTAACATTATCCATCAAATTTTAATTTCAATTTTTCATTATTTTTATTGACGAGACTTGTTTGACTCTTTTTTCTTAGAGTATACATACCTTGGTTAATATTTCCCTCTCTTACCTTTTTGTTCATTGTTTTTTGATTACTTATTAAAATTTTGTTCTTTTTAATTAATGTTTTATATATTGTGTCTATTTATATCATATTGGCATGAAGTACACAGCTATTTAAATTTCTTAAAGGATTGTGCTTTTTTCAAGAAACAATGTTTTTTAATGTAGGGTTTATAAGGAGATTGTCTTCTTTATTATGTCCTTT